CAAATATTCCACAGGAAGCCAATGGAATAGTATTTTATGCTGAGTAAACAAGGAGACAGAGTGTGGCCAACCTATAAGTGCGTGCACAAGTGTGGGTGCAGTGGAGCAAAGGCTACAAGAACTTCCACAACTTACAGCCACTTTGAATGGGGCACATTTGTAAAACTTGCAGCCTCCTGAAACAACTTCCTCCTTGGCCCACAAAGCATGCTATGAGGGGCAGAGAAAGGTAAGGAGGAAGAGGTGCCATGACCCTACCTATCCCGCTTCCAGCAAACCCTGAGCAAACCCAGAGAGCACTTTGGCAAAGAGATGAACACAGAATTAAAGGTGGCTTGCAAAGGGTAGGGAAAGGCCGAGGACGACAAACGTTTATGCCCTTTTTGATTCTTTATAATGTATATAAAAGCAGCCTGAGAGGAGAATTTTGAAAGCTCTGTGCTTTATAACCTTAGGTACAAGAGGAAGGTGCGTGTGTGGGGGGGGAGGTTGTTTATTGCTGGCAAACTCATTGGGAGGAGGAGCTCTCAGTATACAGTGGTGGTTTAACCTTTCATAGAGAGCTCTTCTTCAAGTACTTGTTAAGTTTGGTATAGGTCTTAGGAAGTTTGACTAAAAATCTCTTCCCCTATTGTTTAATCCTCTTTGATGGGTCCTACAATTCCACCAGTTCTCTAATCCTCCAGAGTCCCCCAGAAAATACAAAAGGGGAAAAAGCACAATTTAAAAAAAAAATACCCACAAACCTTCAACATTCAAGCCTTTATAGATTAAAGGAGCACAAAAGGAAAAACAAAACAAAAAAACACATGCTCCTTTGACAATCTCATTTAAACTTCTTTTAAGGCATGGGTTTCTCAGTCTTATGTCCTGGAAGTAGGAAGACCGAGGGCATGCAAATGAATCTCTCTTCCCCTCTTATTCCAGGGCTGCTTTTACTAGCCAACATTCTAGGGCTCCCACCACCTTTGTAGCAAATTTCTCTCCTCTGAATTTGGTATCCATCTACTATTCACAATCTGCATGCTCTTTGGGGTAGGAACGGGTGTCTTCCTACATTTTAGGAGCGCTCCCAGCACATTGTGGGATATTTACAACACAAATCCCAGCCACAAATCTTGTCAAGTCTTCAGACATTTTACAACACCCACTCCTTCCTCTTTGAATTGCGCATCCATTTCATAGACTCATAGAATATCAGGGTTTGAAGGGACCTCAGGAGGTCATCTAGTCCAACGCCCTGCTCAAAGCAGGACCAATCCCCAACTAAATCATCCCAGCCAGGGCTTTGTCAAGCCCGACCTTAAAAACTTCTAAGGAGATTCCACCACCTCCCTAGGTAACGCATTCTAGTGTTTCACCACCCTCCTAGTGAAAAAGTTTTTCCTAATATCCAACCTAAACCTCCCCCACTGCAACTTGAGACCATTACTCCTCGTTCTGTCATCTGCTACCACTGAAAACAGTCTAGATCCATCCTCTTTGGAACCCCCTTTCAGGTAGTTGAAAGCAGCTATCAAATCCCCCCTCATTCTTCTCTTTCTGCAGACTAAACAATCCCAGTTCCCTCAGCCTCTCCTCATAACTCATGTGTTCCAGTCCCCTAATCATTTTTGCTGCCCTCCGCTGGACTCTTTCCAATTTTTCCACATCCTTCTTGTAGTGTGGGGCCCAAAACTGGACCCAGCACTCCAGATGAGGCCACACCAATGTCGAATAGAGGGGAACGATCACGTCCCTCGAACTGCTCGCTATGCCCCTACTTATACAGCCCAAAATGCCACTGGCCTTCTTGGCAACAACGGCACACTGGTGACTCATATCCAGCTTCTCGTCTATTGTAACCCCTAGGTCCTTTTCTGCAGAACTGCTGCCTAGCCACTTGGTCCCTAGTCTGTAGCAGTGCATGGGATTCTTCCGTCCTAAGTGCAGGACTCTGCACTTGTCCTTGTTGAACCTCATCAGATTTCTTTTGGCCCAATCCTCTAATTTGACTAGGGCCCTCTGTATCCTATCCCTACCCTCCAGCGTATCTACTTCCCCTCCCAGTTTAGTGTCATCTGCAAACTTGCTGAGGCTGCAATCCACACCATCCTCCAGATCATTAATGAAGATATTGAACAAAATCAGCCCGAGGACCGACCCTTGGGGCACTCCGCTTGATATCAGCTGCCAACTAGACATGGAGCCATTGATCACTACCCGTTGAGCCCGACAATCTAACCAGCTTTCTATCCACCTTATAGTCCATTCATCCAGCCCATATTTCTTTAACGTGCTGGCAAGAATACTGTGGGAGACTGTGTCAAAAGCTTTGCTAAAGTCAAGGAACACAACGTCCACTGCTTTCCCCTCATCCACAGAGCCAGTTATCTCGTCATAGAAGGCAATTAGATTAGTCAGACATGACTTGCCCTTGGTGGAATCCATGCTGACTGTTCCTGATCACTTTCCTCTCCTCTAAGTGCTTCAGAATTAATTCCTTGAGGACCTGCTCCATGATTTTTCCAGGGACTGAGTTGAGGCTGACTGGCTGTAGTTTCCAGGATCCTCCTTCTTCCCTTTTTTAAAGATGGGCACTACATTCCTCCCGTCTGAGCTCCTATGGCACCCGCCCAGTTCTTCTACGGAAGCAGCTAGGGCTGCCAGCAGAAAGAAAACAGAAATAGCCAAAGTGGCCAGTTCTATCATGTCCCATTTCCGTCTTAGCTTTGAGAGTTTCCTAAATGCCTGAAGAACCTAGAAGGAAAGAGGAGACTTGGGGGGTCCAAAGGCATTAAGCTGTAAAGCATCTGCAAAAGTTCAATGATTAAGCTCCAAATGTGAATGCCTTTATAACTGGGGATTTACCTGAGTGTGCAGCCAAGGGTTGCACTGCAGTGGCTAGTAAGGTTGGGGATAGGGCCACCCTTGCTGTTTCAGGGTTTTTGCCAAGAGTTTCCTGGCTTGTGCCATCGTTCTGTGACTTTTCACAGCATTAACCATAACAAATCTCACCATGACAGTAACACGTATAAAGCAGAGAAGATGAATTATTTCCTCAGATCTGGCTAATCCCTTTGAGCTCACTTTGAGCTGAAACGCGTGGTGCAAGAGGGATAAACCGACTAGTTTGCTGGGCATGTCAAAAATAAAAAGCAGCAAAATACAGTACTAAACAGTGAGATGGTCTAGAACAGGGGTTCTCAAACTTCATTGCGCTGTGACCCCCTTCTGACAACAAAAATTATGTAAGCCCAGGAGGGGAGATGGAAGCCTGAGCCCATCAAAACAGGGGAGCCAAAGCCTGAGCTCCACCACCCCAGGTGGGTGAGCCAGCCAAAGCTGAAGCCCAAGGGGTTCAGCCCTGGCTGGGTCCCTGTAACCTGAGCCCAGCCACCCAGGACTGAAGATCTTGGGCTTCAGCACTGGGTGGTGAGGCTTGGACTTTGGCCCCGGACCCCAGCAAGTCTAACACCAGCCCTGGCAATCTAATTAAAATGGGGTCCCAACCCACATTTTGAGAACCGCTGGTCTAGAATCCAGGCAACTTCAGGAGAGATGCTCAGGCACACTTACATGGGAAGTACAGTTTCTCCAATTCCAGTGATGTTTTATGTCCAAACAAGCAGTATTTTTTTAAAACTCGGCATCTCACATACTGAACACTTATGAGCTGCCTTTCAGCTTTAGATCTATTCTTCTTGGGAGCCTGCAGATATTAGAAGGCATCGCTAAGCAAATTCTAACATGAGTGCTGGTCATATTACTCACTAACTGGACAGGTGATCCTGTGAAAGTGAAACATTTACAATCTCCCAGAATTGGTTAAGAAATAGCTGAAGTGGCTTTTTCTGACAGAAAGAGCCAGACATGCCTCAGATTGGTGCTGTGGAGGACAAACTTTGAGCTAGCTCTACAAACCAAAAAAAAAAAAAAAAAAAAAGCGTGCGCAAGATGCACTATTAGGGTTGGTGTATTTGTTTCTATATTACCGTAGTACTTTCTTCCTGGGTTGTGCATGTTTAGAATCAAAAGAGGACAAGAGAAAAGAATGGAGATAAATTGGTTCTGGACAGCAAATTCTGATATATATATATATATATATATATATATTTATTTAAAATAGTCAGATGACTATTTTGTATTGTCTTAGGTCACTTGTGTACTACTGGATTTGGAACTATACAGTGACAAAAACACCACACAAATGTCGTTAGCAGGAATATCTTGTTCAAGTTTCTCTCCTCATTCTTGGTTAACTGTATACATTTTAAGTTCAAATAAAAATATTAAAAACAGTAACAAGAGTCATTGTATAGTTTATTTGCTCTTACAACTAAACCTTTGACGAGACACCATAGAAGACCCAAAATTTAGGTTGTATTTGGGAAAAGGAATGTTTTATAAAACCTAAATACCCTTTTTTTAAAAGAGTCAGTAACAATGGCTAGGATTAAAGTATTCCCCTACACCAGTCAAAATCTGAACATTACAGCACTGAGGTAGTAAATAAGAATCAGGAAGCCAGGGTGGCTTATCTTGTTTTTCCACTATTCAACATTAAAATGCAAAAAGTAAACAAACATAGTATTTTGCCATTTATGTTAATGGATGAAAAGCACATTTGGGTTTTAAAATTCCTTCAGTTTTAATAATAATCTACAGTGAAAGTAACACAGGGAAAGGAACAGGTGCAAAATATTTTTAGCACAGCCACATCTCTCTTATATTATACTTTAAGGAACTTGTTATACAGATGAATGTAATTTAAATTATTGTAAACCCTAAGAAATATTTCTGTAGCAACATTACACTCCTTTTTTTATTATAAAACACACTTAAAAAAAGAAAAAGAAAAAAAAACACATGCAAGACTGCAATCTCATGTATACTCAATTCCTACCACAATGCTAACATGCATATGATATGTACCAGCTATACACAATGTAAAACAACATCACAGGTCACAGTTAAATTGTGAAATTCATTTCAGGTAAATAATTGAAGTGGACAATGCATAAAGCTTTACAAAAATATTTTTTATTAATGAAAGCAGCAGAGTCTGAGCAAGACAACAGTACAAAGAATGTAAACATTACTAAGTTCAGCTCCAGCCAACTGAACAGTGGAAAAAACTATTCTAAATGCAACTACAGTAGAAGCTAGTTAACAGGTTAAACTGTAAACCAACAATGTATTTTCTACTCTTAATTAAAAAAGGAACTTATCGTTGTCGGTCCCAGCGCCAGATACTGGCATCATCACAAACAGCTATAAGGATACTGCTATCCCTGCTAAAACTGGTTTGTCGAATGGCAGCAGCACATTTAGGATGGGTAAGTGTCGTACATCTACAAAGAAAGAAATGATTTAGTTGCAATGTTAAGTCTGCATTTGCTATTACACTTGTGAGTAAGGGCTTGCTGGATCAGAACTTTAACATGTTATCTGACTGACGCCAGTGGAAGCTCACTCACAAAGGAAAGGTTGGCAAGGCTGGGCCCTTATTGTATTCTGTACTCCTTAGTTAGCTGTTGGAACCCAGAGGAAATTAATTCTCTCTCACTGCAATTTCTTCCTCCACCCAAGATCAATTTTCATAAAGCTCTTCTGAAAGTGGATCATCTTAGGTAGGTTATGGTAATAAACGTAAGTATTAATTTTTACTTAGGAATACAGTATTGTAATTGGGTGATGGAAGACAGCAAGATTTCCAGGAAGGCCTCATATACGACTCTTCAATAGTCACCTGGCCAGGAACAGGTGGTCAACTGAAAAGTCACATTACAAGCCCCTCCAAATTATGCACGTAGCTAGCCTATGTAACTGTATTTCTACTATTACCCTAGTCCTTTCCCCTCCCCCTTCCATTGTGCGCCACACCCACCTGGAAAGTCTCCTCTCAATTACTTTGTAAACTTTTCTCCTAATTACTCTGTAAGCTCTTCGAAGCACGGACTTTCTTTTACTGTATCTACGTACAGTGCCCAGCACAATGCGGCCCCAACCCGACTGGGGCCTCTGGGCGCTACTGTAATAAATACAAATAATGATGTTAACTTTACAGGGTCAAAATGCTTATTCACCGTACAAGTTAGAATTGAAGGTGTGGCTACCACCACTCAAGAGTTTGTGTTATGGGTAAAGTAAGAAGGAAAGTGCCCTACCACCATTCAAGAGTATGAGCTGTGTAAAGAAGGAAAGTGCCCCAACTCCATGTCTCAGTATCACAAAGGAATCTAGGGGAGTTTAGAAATTTCTATATACTCACTTAGCCTTATGAGGATCTTCTATTTCCAAATCCCAAACATAAAGTTTGCCAACTTGATTGCCCAATGCAAGCATCTTTGAAATGAGAGAATATAGACACTTTAAAATATGGTATCAAAGAACAGAAGCCAGACTTCATAAAGTCTCTAAGACTGACAACATACACACACACGTGTGCACATAGCACTTCACGTACTCAAATCACTATAAAACCAATGATCCGCATTACACCCATGTGTCTTATGTATTTGCCTCAGTTTCCTCATCAGTAAAATGGAGATAAAAGATGGAATAATCTTCCCTCCAATACCACTAATGGAGAGTCAGGATTAAAATCTAGTGTTCATGACTACCAATAGTAAGCTCCTTGCTCCAGACCATGTTACCTCCCATCACATCAGCACATGTGAGCGGAAAACTTTTCCTCATATACCATTAAGGCATCTAAATATGTAACCGGGGAAGAGTTAGTTTCTGAAACTGGGATCTTCTTCAAATACAGCAAAAAGTTCAAAGCTTACTCTTACCTTTTGCCAGAAGTCCATTGAAAACCTCATATACCAGATATCGCACTGACTATAATCAAATCGTCCTAGTATAGTCACATTTGACTCACTGGGCTTGATTTTATCTATATCATCCTCCATTTTGCCAGGTTTCCAGCACACAATAGCATTTTCACAGGACTATGGGAAGAGTAAGAAGAATCACTTACTTGAGGGGGGGAAAAAAAAACCCGGAAAAAAAAACCCCATAAACACGACCCATGCTTTTTTCAAACTATAATTTTATCCAAACTTCTCCTTGTACAACTACCCTCGAATACATAAAGAAAAAAATCAAGGATGTCACTTGGAATCTTAGGGCTTGTCTACACTGCCACTTTACAGCACTGCAACTTTCTTGCTCAGAGGCGTAAAAAAACACCCCCGAACGCTGCAAGTTTCAGCGCTGTAACATGCCAGTGTAGACAGTGCACCAGCACTGGGAGCCAGGCCCCCCAACGCTGGGAGCTACGCCCCTCGTGGAGGTGGGTTTTTAGAGCGCTGGGAGAGCTCTCTGCCAGCGCTGTGCTGTGACTACACAAGCCACTTTAACGTGCTGCCGTGGCAGTTCTTTCCCATTGCCAGTGAAGACATGCCCTTAGGTGTCTATCCACAGATCTTACACCATGCAGTCCAAACACAGCCAGCTCACCCCAAGCTACTTGCCAATGACCTTTAATTGCCAAAGGAGTGCGAGTGAAGTGCACTTGGACAATTCAAACACCGAAGAGGGGTTTAGTTCTGTCTCTATGCAAATTTGAAGAATTTTAGTAATGTTCCAAACATGTTTCTTGCTAGAAACGAGCTAAGTTGTTTTCAAGTCTCAGAGTAAACAGGTCTTAGCCAACATTTGCAGAGCAAACATTACCAACGTTGCAACACAAATCAAAGTCATTCCATGATGTAGACTTTCCAACTTAAGTACACCTATTTCATTTCTCCTTTTTGTTGCAAGAGCTATATGAACTCCCAGAAATGAACAGTCTTGCTTTTTTCCCTAATGAACATTCCACCCGAATCCTGGCTTTTCAGTGCTCATATACTTTTACTAGAGCTTTGATTGCTAGAAGAATTTACATAGATTTTTAATATAAGATGCTTATATACCCAAACCTAATTAGTTAAACTCTCAATCTACCTAGAAAAAAATCACCTTGCATGGCACAATAAGTTAACTTTCCAGCCAATAAATCAAAGCAGCAGAAAGACACCCCATTCTACTCCACTCTCACCCGAAAACTATTGTTTGAGGCCCTGAATGTAAGCAAATAATCTTGAACAATATGGCTAAACAGTAGACACTTTACCTTGGAAAGTATTAGATCTCCTAACCATCGTACACAGTCAACATAGTTCCTATGTATATCTCTGGTGGAAAAGTCAGGAAAGTGAATTTTCTGAGAAATAAAAGGCCTGTGGGGAAAAACCAATGAGTCATAGCAAGAAGGGCAAAGAGAGGCACTTAAAAAAAAAACTATTTAAAACACTAAAATGATAATTTATAACTGTCAGTAGAACCTTTTTCTACTGTGTCTAACAATTTGCGGCGTACATTTCAGAAACTTATCTGAAAGGTAAATACTACAAGACTATCTTCAGTGAATTAGCTGAGGTCCCAACATATCTGTGGGTAGGGGGTAGAGGAGAGGAAAGACTGGAGGCACTGGAAAGACATGTTAGCCTCTGAAGAAATTCGGCAATCCCTGTGTCAAACACTTCAAGTCGTGTTAAAACAGAAACAACTTCTGGGATTCCTTCAGCCCCCAACACTCTTCAAGCAAAATCTAAAATGTTTTGACAAGGTATGTGTAAGAACACACTAAGGATCTTGTTTTGTCTGAAGTGCCATTTAAGATTTGGTAACATTAAGAAGTAGGCACACTTCTAGTATTAGTCCCATTGTAAAATGTCAGGTTTCAGAGTAACAGCCGTGTTAGTCTGTATTCGCAAAAAGAAAAGGAGTACTTGTGGCACCTTAGAGACTAACCAATTTATTTGAGCATAAGCTTTCGTGAGCTACAGCTCACTTCATCGGATGCATGTCTTCTGCAGTTTCCACAGTATGCATCCGATGAAGTGAGCTGTAGCTCACGAAAGCTTATGCTCAAATAAATTGGTTAGTCTCTAAGGTGCCACAAGTACTCCTTTTCTTATTGTAAAATGTGTTTAGTATATTTTAGATCCTTCACATTTTATTTCACAAATTGGAGGCTACTCAACACTAGGGTTGGTACAAGCAGGTAATTACATGAGTTGGTTTCCCTTAATATTAAGGACAAATTTTGCTAGTAGCATAACTGAAAGGTAACAGTCTTTTCAAATCAACTTATTTCTTAGAAATTGGATCTCAGGAGGATTGAAAATTTCAAGTGTAATTCCAACTGTGTAAGTATTTTTGCCCTATATCCCCCAAATAAATTACTGATTACAATAACTTGTATTATTTTCATACTTAGAATTTAAGGAACTATTTACTACAGTCTAGTCAATTATTCTGATGTGTATTTGTTACTCTACTATAAACCTTTGAGGGGACAGGAAAGGCTGCTGATATGTATTTATATATATGCTTCAGAAATTAGAACTGGATTAAAACACCAATTCCCAAAACCATCCAATTGCGCATAAATGGAAGAAGTCAGACTATTTCAATAAGTGTTTGGACCTATAATTAAACAGAACACTGTTGCCACCACATATCAGTAAGAGAAGCCTTCTTCCAGAGCAATTTAGGGATCAGCACCTCCTAAATCAATGGAAAACCTCCCTCATTACAGTGGGAGCTGATATGGGCCCTTGGTGAGAAGATTCATATTTAGTAGATATATCAACGAATAAAGATCAAGATTGTGTTCACCTGTTGGTTTTATTTGGATTGTACTCATAAGACTCCTTAATGGCATTCATCATTCTCTTTGAATTGATTCTCCAGAGTTTCAGAGAGTGATCCATACCACAGGACATTATTTTCTCACCAAGAAGGTCATAATCCTACACAAAAAGAGTCAGCTTTAAGCCCTCAATATTAAGTTTCAGCATACTAACTCACTGATTCTATTTTCTTCATTTACATTAGATGCATATATGTTCAAGTCATATTTTCAGTCTAGAGAGCAAGCTAAATAAGCATATTTCAAGATAGAAAACTATTAAATATAACTTAAGCCTGCTTCCTGTAAAAGGTATCATATCTTGGCACACCTATTTTACTCTCTTGAATGCAAAAAACAAGAGCACATTCAATGAAGCTGAAAGACAACAAATTGAAGACTAGTATTTTCCCCAACATAGAACCTGTGCCACAGGATTTAATTGAGGCAAAGACTATAGTAGAATTTAGAAAAGGATTGGACACAAATGAGGGCCATCCACCATTACAATATACAGAACAAAAACAATTTTAAGAGGATATAAACCCTTATACTTCAGAGGGTAAGCCAGCAAGTGGCTGGGGATAAGAAAATGTTTTTCTATGGGAAGGTTATTCCTTAATTGTCCACTATATGGTTTCTTGCATCTTCTTCTGAAGTATCTGGTACTGGCCAATATCAGAAACATTACTGGGCTAGAAGAACCACTGATCTGATTTGGTATGGCAATACCGATGTTTCTATGGGAAGAAAGACCAAAGCCAAATGATTAATTGTTTCTAGCACAAATATTCTATCTAGGTATTTGTTACATACCAATAAAATTTGAGTATTTCTACATAAACAGAGCCATAAGTAAGCAAGCATAACAAGCACAAGTCACTGTTTCCCTTATTAATGTAACCCTTTTCCTTCCTTATCCATTCCTCTCTCTTCATATTTTTTGTTGCTTTCCTTCGTGTTATGCACACAATTTGATTAAGATATATGAGGCCGGGACAGTATTGAAAGCTCATCTTAGATGTAAACCATGCTGAATGTTAAATTTGTGTCAAGTCCTTAATTACTAAAGAAATAGTACTGAATTAATTGTATACTACTGTAGGCCAAAACAGAAATTGTGGGACGTTTGACTGTATTCTCTTGTGGATGAAAGCACCAGGTTTTTTGTTCTACTCATCCTTAAAGCTCACTTATGCAAAATCTTTCAACACCAAGTCACCTTTGAAAGGTGTTTTATAGACAGACCAGTAAACTCCACAGTTATGTGATGCTTGGATTATGCAAGGTTTGTTGGGTCTCCCAAATAAAAGTTTGTACAGGTGTCCAAGAAACATTTCTGTAATCAAAGATTATTTGTATACATCAAAAGTAGAAGACAGAAATAGGTATAAAGGTTTTGGTGGCATGAAGCAATAACTGCATCTCTTGAGAGGTGAATCTACAGGAGAGTGCATACTGTAAACCATCCCAAACAAGTGTCAAAAAAAAGAGACACCCCTCCCCCCCCCGGAGGGATTATTTAAATTGCTTTGATTTAAAGTAATGGATTTTAATCTCATTTTGCATTTGTACTTTTTAGTGATTTTGATAGATTCATAGATACTAAGGTCATAAGGGACCATTATGATCATCTAGTCCGACCTCCTGCACAACACAGGCCACAGAATCTCACCCACCCACTCCTGCGAAAAACCTCTCACCTATGTCTGAGCTACTGACGTCCTCAAATCGTGGTTTAAAGACTTCAAGGAGCAGAGAATCCTCCAGCAAATGACCCGTGCCCCATGCTACAGAGGAAGGCGAAAAACCTCCAGGGCCTCTTCCAATCTGCCCTGGAGGAAAATTCCTTCCCAACCCCAAATATGGCGATCAGCTAAACCCTGAGCAGATGGGCAAGATTCACCAGCCAGATACCCAGGAAAGAATTTTCTGTAGTAACTCAGATCCCACCCCATCTAACATCCCATCACAGGTTATTGGGCCTATTTACCATAAATATTTAAAGATCAAGGTTGATCATAAAGAAAGTTTGATTTTCACTGCTTTGTAACTATTAAAACATGTTGATTCACAATTAAATGTAGCCTTTACACTAAACTTGGTGCTTTTGCTGACCAGAAAGATATGGTGTATCTACACACATTTATTTAAGGTATTATATTTCTTAACTAAATAAATATTAAGAAATGATGAACAATTCATTTCTTATTTAGTAGAAGAAGATTAAGTTTTACTTGTGAATTGTGTCAAGCTCCATTTGGATGGATGTTAAAATTCAAATTAAATGCACAAAAGAACATTTCAAAACGATTTCTATTAGTTAAATAAAACTACCTTAAATGTGCTGGTTACACAAGAAAAAAAGTTTTTCAGAACAAAACATGTTTTGTATTTAAAGCTAACTGTTTTATTAAAGCAAAAGAAGTACTATCTGTAGTTAGTGAATTGAACTGATGGTCATTGAACTGGACTAGCTGAACAAACTGACATGAAGAAAACATTCTCTCTACACCCGAAGAAGCTACTGTTGTCAAAAGCTGGTGTAGCACTTCAACAAATTCTGATTCTAGGTGCTTAGCCAGTGACTTCCACCAGTTCAGCACTATGACTTTCTTTAAAACTGCAGCCGCAAACATGTATTGCTTAATATTAATCCTTTCTTAATAGGTTATAGTAAATTTAGGCATAAAAACACATTGTAATAATTTCAAATTTTAAATAGGCTTACTTTTAAAAATAAACCTGTTTATATAAAAATGTAATGACTTTTTTTAATCAATTTTATCCACTTAAAATATAAGATGGTTGGAAGTCTATTCTATATATTTACAGAAAAATTATAAATATTTTAGAGATTTAAAATATAACTTTTGTTTTTCTTTCAACTTCGGCCTACTTAAGATATTTGTATTGTGCCTATCACCAGAAGTCAAAAGGATTCACTCACATGTGTAAAATTAAGCACAGGTAGGATAACGGCCTTAGACTGCAAGTTCTTCAGGGTAGGGAGTGTCTCTCTATTCCATGAAAAGCTATGCAATCTTTCGCACTTTAAGCTATATGTTACAAATGCAAAAACTGAAGGATAAAGCTATTTTAAACTTTGGTTGCTTCATCCAACTACCTACTAAAACTAAACCTTTTAAATATTAGTGTAGCTACTGACCAGTTTCTCTTACCCTATGATGAGTTCTCTCAGCTGAGGTCAACTGGGATGCTTACAGTTCCTAGAGGCATTCATTAGAACAAGGTGTTCCTAGTGAAGGGCTTTGAACAGTTCCTTCCCATTTCCATCCAACACGACTCTTTAATCCCACAGAGTCCTAGTTTATTTACCTTCACGACATGTTGCAAAATATCCAATTTCGCTAGAGAGTTTGAGTGACGCAGGTGTCAGTTTTTATGGGCTGGCAAGTATTTTAGTGCTGATGTGTAATCTTAGAATTATATTAGCCTAAATGTGTTTTTAAAAGAGTTCAGTTCATGTACTTTGGGTTTGCTGGGCACAATATTTAAGCCTAAATATGATTCAAAGAGAGATATTGGGATTCCCATACATAAGAGTGAAGGCATTGCCCTATAGTTTTCCACTTACTGCACTTAAGACTTCATCCCTGTGCCCTTCTACTCCTCCAAATATTGCAACCAGCGTGTCTGTTTGGATGTTCCACAGTCTCAGTGCATGATCTAGAATACAAACACAGAAGCTGACAGGTTAACCTTAATCATCCATTTGTACCTCAATAAAGTTAACGTAGCCACCACTTTCATGAACAGGAATCCCACGGTAGCATTTATAATGTATGAAAAGTATGTTCTTCCATTACTACAAGAAAAAATTGTTTTCAGTTGAATGTTAGTATCATTTTAACACCACTCTAGGTATGGTTGAGAAATTTTTCAGTCTAATGATGAACTCCTACCTAGCCTATTTTCAGGCCTTAAGTCATTTCCTGGGGAGAGGGGAAGGAAAAATATATTTCAGCCAAAAGTTAATGTCCCATTCATTCTCAGCTCTAAAAATCCCTTTAGTCATTTGAGTTACCAAGTATGCAGGAAAAAAAAGGGTGCTTTTCACTCTTTAAAGTATTCAGCTATTATTTTGTGCTCTGATAAGCCAAAAAAGGTTTTTAATACAGTGTGGACTGAGGGCAGGAATGGGCCATAAATTACATACACGCAACTTCCACTGAAGTCAGTGGAACTCATCTAGCTGTTTCATAAGACAGAATTTTGTGCCAATTTTCAATGAAGAGCCACTGACATTTAAAAACATCAAGTTTAGAAAGAACTGAAAGAAGATTTTATGGTTCCACTAAAGTACAGTACACTATAAGATGGATGTGTCAGACTAGTTGCATTTTGCTTCCCCTTCCTCCCCCCACTCTCTCCTCATCTATATTGGAAGTGGGCAAGCAGTTCTTGGCCATCCAAGAGACAAAATTTGATCCAGTGATCATACAATAGTGCGACTGCATAATTTTCACTTCTTTAAAGTTCCAAACTATTTAATTACAAATAAAATAAACTCAAAAAATTATGGTTCATACAGCTACACCACACTATACACAAAGCTGCAGGAATCACTTTCAGTTTCTCAACTCTTGTTCTTGTGAAGTCTCATCCACAACACTGCACTATTGTAGGATGTTCCACCTTTGGAACAGAATAAGTTTTTAACTCTAGCATTTGCAAAACTTCACTCTTGTGAGCACACAGTCTTGCTTTAAGTTAGTCAAGTTTAAGAGGTTATGATTGGTTGGATAGTCTAATCAAGACAATACGAACCAGTTCTCCTTTCACTTCCTCCTAATTTATACTCATGTAAGTGACAGGAGAATCAGGCTAAGAATTTTTTTCCATTCTGAAAGTAGTGTGCACCATGTAACCCACACCAGTAGGTGGCAGGACAACTCAGCATACAAAAACCAATTTAAATGATAATCACAAAGCTCCATCAATGCCCAACGGTTTGCACAACTGTCATAGCTAAACATGGATGTTTTCTTTCTACCTACAGAGACATTGTTTTCAGTCCCTAGGTACCAATGGATGCAGTTACATCTACTACAGGCCGTGGGTTTCATCTAACCCACATAAATCCAAATTAACAGAGTTAATTTGTTCTAGAGTTTCAATGCTTCAAGTTGGTTTCAGGATATGAGAGAGAGAAGGTGGGTCTGGCAATATCTTTTTATTGGATCAACTTCTGTTGATGGAAGCAACAAGCTTTCGAGCTTCACAGAGCTCTTCTTCAGGTCTGGAAGAGATAACCAGAGTGTGCCAGCTCTTTTCCAGACCTGAAGAAGAGCTCTGTGAAGCTCAAAAGCTTGTTGCTTCCATCAACAGAAGTTGATCCAATAAAAAGATATTACCTCACCCACCTTGTCCACCTCAATTCTTAAAGTGTCATACATTGATCTTTGTGTTCTGATGGGGTTTAGCTCATCTCGTTCACAGCCAAGACCTCTTACATAGTATTTAAAAAAAAATCTAAGTAGATGGTTCCTAAACAAAAAATAAGCAGCTAAACTGCCGTACCTTTGCTTACAGACAAAAGGAGATTTGGATCCCTTGGATGAAATTTCAGTTCATTGATTGCATTTCCATGGCCCACGTAGTGCTAGAACAGATTTCAAAGATAAAATTATTTCCCACCTCCTCAAATTGAGATAGTTAGACTAGATACATTGTAAATTATTTTAGAAAGCTGCAATCTGCAGTTTGAAGCCGTGACCACTCACCTTTATGCACTGCATTGTAATGGGATTAATTATCCTAATAATACCCCTTGACCCAGCCACAGCCAGAAGCGGGTGACTTGTATTGCTATCATAGGTCCATGCACAAGTATAAAAGTTCTCATCTGCCTAATAGGTGCCATGTTAAGGACTACAGAAGCAGCTGTAGAGAGTAAGGTATTCATACATTTGTTTAGAAGCACAGTTGCTGTTTTGTAAAAGAGCTCAATAGTGTATGACCAGAGATAAGAAGATTAATATGTATTCTGATTTCTAAGCTCTCTACAACTCCACTCCTTCCCCTGTGCTTGTTTCTCTCCTTGCTGCTCTTTTTGCTTCCTCATACTGCACCATACACCTGAAATGCTCTCTGATCTATCAGCTCTTTCTTCTTCTTCAAAAGGACTCAAGTGGTGAGACTAAATGACTAAAATGAAGGTGAGAAAATAATTTATTAGCCATGTAATTGGTCTAACCTCAGGACTGGAGCCAGGAATTCCCATTTCCAATCCTGGCCCAATCAGTAAAATAGGAATGCTACGTACTACATAGCAGTGCTAGAAAACTGTAGAAGCTACGAACATGAAACATGTTATACAAGTATTAGCGCTGGGAGGCATAAGATTATGTTGAATCATTTTAACAATATTTTATATAACATGTTTCATGATTCTGCATTTGTAATATTAGAAAAGTAAAGCTAAAATTTGTGGGATACAGGCAGGAGTTTGGATCTGAAGTGAAGAATGTTCCTTATCAACAGGTGTTTACAGTATTTTATCACAGACAATTCAATTGTTACACATCAAGAGGGAGTAAACAAACGTTTCTCATGTTAGTCCTACTAAAATACCATTTTATGACAAGCTGCTTTAGAAGGATACATCAGCATCCACGTAAGACTGCAACAAACGTATTTCTCCTTGGGAATGACACTCATATAACGTAACCTGGGGGAAAAAAAGGTTTACTGGATTATTAATTTCATGCAATATGGCGTGTGATTTTCACATTCATCTGTGCAAACTGAAAGGTGTCTTGTTCTACACAAGTCCCATCTACTATCTGTTCCTTAGCTGAATGTGGAAGTGGTTCGATGCAAAAGCATTCACGTGTCTTATCAGACTAATGACTTATTTAAACATTCCTCATCGTGAAACTTCCTAGGGATGAAAGCTGCTGACAGGCTATACCATACCCTGAAATTAATACAATTAGTTCTAACCTAACTTGTTACTTCTATTTGATATTGACAAACCATTCTATTGTCTGGTTTAATTTCTTTGCACAGAACTATGGCCCTTGTTACTTATTTCTCTACATTACTTAGTGCTTGTAATAACTGCTGCACTGACAACCCTGGAAAAATGAAATTCTCTTATTTACTCATAAAACAGATACTGCATTCTCTGAATGCTCTGTTAACTATTTCTTAAGGCTGCTGTTAAGTGAACGCCTGTTCACCAAGAATCCATCAACTCATCTCACATAGGCCACTAATCTTTACTTAGTATCAGTACTTGGCACATTGACACCAATAAAGATGCTTCTTTCATTCTTTTGTACATCACTTAGCCCTTTAAACAGGTTACAGCTGAGAACCAACACTTTACCTGAAAAGAATTTTAGTGTCTCCCTTTCAGAAATCTTCCAACCTCTACAAAACTGAAGGAATTTTAGTAAAATAGGAGCCTTATTCTCAAGCCGCTGAAGCATGCCACCACATTTCAAACTACTGGATTCACCCGTCTTAAAATTGCAAGCACTTTACAGCCTTGAAAAATGGAATATAAAACACCACCACAGTATTTTAAATATTGAACACTGGTAACTGGAGGGAGAAGAAAATGGCATACAGATAAAGAAGCACGTGTAGGGGCAACATGATTAGACAGAAACTGAGCATATTACTCACTCTGTTGCTGCCTACAGTGGCAAACACTAATGGATCTCCTTCCTTACTGTGCCAGTTAAACTGGACTCCAAACAATGGCTGACTGTGGTCCTCCTGTAAAGGAAAAATAAGATTAAGGAAACATGTGAGAGAATGAAGACCAGACATTATTTCTCAGAAACTCATGATTTGTGGCAAAAGGAGCCTATTTTTGTACAACCTCTTCCCATATAAAAGGTCACTACATTTATAGCCGTTTACATGTTCTGACCCGATATACTCGCTCTTAAAAAGGAGTAGCACAGCACATTAACTTGTTAGTCTTCAGGGGAGGTAAAAACATGTTCCTCTGCTCCAAGCTTTAAAGGCAAAGTGAAAAAAACACCACCTCTTATGTACTGGTTCTATTTGCAGCTTGGACTACTTGCTTGTTTGGTGATCCTGGGCAAGGCAACCTCTGGGTCTAAAGCCTGGTCCACATACATTTTATGCCAGTATAACTATTTCAGTTGGGAGTGTGATTTTTGTAAACCCATTTAGTTATCCTAATACAACCCCTAATTGGGATGCAGTTATATCAGTATAAAGGGCCTTATCAGCATACCTTATTCCTTATGGAGACAGAAAAAAGAAATACTGGAATAACTGTGTCCATACTGGCTGGCGGGGGAACGGGGGGGGGGTGTTAACTATACTTGTCTTGTTAAAGTGGTAAGGTGGTACAAATCTCTAGAGCAGTGGTTCCCAAACTGGGGTTCGTGAAATGTATCAGGGGGTTCACAAAAAAAATTCTGTAATGGCGGGAAGCCGTCCCTAGGGACTCCAACCCCCGTGGGGGCTAGCAGCCCAAGCCTAGTGACCAAGACTTCCTGGCAGAACAAGTTTAAGCTTTGTTGCAGTCATGTGTTTTTTGCCTGGACTGCTCAAGACCTGAATGCTTGTGGGAGGAACTATTTGAGTTGGCTTCTTAAATACCTTCATGCTGTTTCACGTCTGGTACTCCTTGATGAAACATGTAGAGAGGCTTAATGGAAGTGATATAAGCCTTAGAAGTGAAATCTTGGAAGAGTGTCGTCATTTTCATAATGTAATAAAATTAATAATGTAATGATAAATCATAATGTAATAATAAATAGTGTGAAATAAGCGTGTCATAAAGAAAACAAATTATTTCCAAGATCACTGTTTCTATCATTTATGCTCAGGTAAGGGAGAAAATCCCTGAAAATATTCATTTTTAGGAGGGGGTTCACAAGATTTGATATTTTCGTGAAAGGGGTTCGTGGGTTGTTAAAAGTTTGGGAACCACTGCTCTAGAGTAACACCTTAGGGCATGTCTACACTTGCCATTTAAAGTGCAAAATGTCCCCTTTTTTGCACAAAATCCACGGGAGCGTCTACACTTGTTAATTACTTTTTGCCGTGAAACTCAGAAGTTTCACCGCAAAAAGAAAGGCACACAGTTCTTACGGCTGTTCTTTTCGCAGTGATGTGAAAGTGAAGACACATTCTTCCTGCATAAACATCTTTTGGCCTCTGAAGGATATCCCACAGTGCCAAAAGTGACCACTCTGGCCAGCACCTCCGCTGCTCTGATGGCAGGTAAACAGACGTCAGCCCCTCCCTCTGTAAAGCCCCGGGAAGTTTGGAACTCCATTTCCGAGTGCTCATTTGACCTGGTGACCGTGGCTGCTCCACAATGCAAATGATCCCCTGCTTGGAGCAATGCCGAGCTACTGGACCTGATCAGAATTTGGGGAGAGGAGGCTGTGCAGTGCCAGATGCGTTCCAGCCACAAAGGAATTTCAGTACCTACAAGAAGATTGCAGGCAGCTTGCAGGAGAAGGGGCATAACAGGGACACACTGCAGTGCAGAGTGAAAGTGAAGGAGCTGAGGAATGCCTACCACAAGGTGAGGGAGACAAACCATCAGTCCGGTGCTGCGCCCCGAAGCTACCGTTTTTACAGTGACTTGGATGCAATCCTCTGACCCCACGTCCATTGCAAAGAGCCCAGTGGATACTTCTTTATGTCTGGAGGCAGTGGAAAGTGGCCCTAGCCAGGAGAAGGTGGTCGTAGATGAGGAGGCAGCGGCTGAGGAAGCTGTGGAGCCTGTTGTTGCCTGCACTCAGGACCCCTTCTCTGCTCTGGAAGCGTCTAGACAGTGTGAGCGGCCACTGGCTGCTGAGGGAGAGGCAGGAGAGCAGAGCTCTGGTAAGTTGCTTTGCTTTGACAATGCATAAAGCAGGTTGAGGGCATAGAAAAGTACTAAGGTGGCTGTGTTTGTGTGCTGGGTGCCCTCCCTTCATGCTTGCCCTTTTCAGAATGGGTGTATGCAATAAATCCTCTAACCCTGCGTTCCCTCACCATTGCTGGGCTCTTATGCACCATGGGTGCTTGACTTTTCTCACCACGACAGTGATTTCTTACCAGTGGTGTATTGCACAGTGATTCCTATATGTATGTTTCACAGTAATGTGTTGCTTTTGTCTCCCGGAAATGACGGTGGAAGACCCACCCCGCGCTGTAGCAGACCATCTACGACGCATAAGAAGGCGGCCAAGATGCACTGAGGCAGACATGTTTCGTGAGGGGATTCTGTACTCCCAAGTGGAGACACATGATAAAAATAAATGGAGAGAAACCATGACAAAGTGGAAAGAGGAAGAGAACTGAGACTGAAAAGACAATAATGCTTTCCATAGGGAAGCCACGGAGAACCTAATCAACGTTCTGGAGCATCAGCCAGATCTGTTGCATTCTCTCATTATACTACAGAGTGACCTGAGTTGTGCTCGCCCCCCATTGCAGCTAGTGCAGAATTCTCTCATGCACTCCCCAAACTCCCTCTGCACATTCTTATAGGCTCGCTGCAAATTTTTCCATTCCTCAACAATCCATACCCCCTGACAGCTTATCAAATGACAGTTGGAGTTGTACACAGCTGTGAGGTATATGAGCCCCCCACCCTGTTCACCACCAATATTGAGGATGGATATATGTGCATGTGGTGTTCTCTCTCTTTTTAAAATAAAAGCACAAAATTTTCAAAAAGCAGCAAGCTTTATTTGTGTTCACATTTCTGTACATGTCATCACAGCTACAAGTCAACGAGCACTTCATCTTCACTGAAATTACAGACAGAACTACCATGTAGCACAGCACATGCTGTTAACACTTCCTTTCCCAAGCACAGCAGCAAAGTTAATGATTTTCATTTTCAAACTTTTCCCTCAGGGCATCCTGGATCCTAACTGCCACATGCTGTGCCCTTCTAATAGCCCTGGTATCTGGCTAAAACTCAGCAGCCAGGCGTTCAGCCTCCACGCGCCACATACAAGTAAATCTTTCCCCCTTCCCCTCACAAATGTTATGTAAAGTACAGCATGCCGCAATAACCATGGGAATATTTTCCCTGCTAATTTCCAGCCTACTGTACAAACATCTCCAGCGTGCTTTCAAACGGCCAAATGCACAGTCGACAGCCATTCTGCACCTACTCAGTCTGTTGTTGAAACATTCCTTACTGACATCTAGGTTTCCAGTGTATGGATTCATGAGCCATGGCATCAATGGGTAAGCTGGGTCTCCCAGGATCACAATGGGCATTTCCACTTCCCCGACAGTGATCAGCTGGTCTGGAAAGAAAGTCCCTGCTTGCAGCTTTCTCTACAGGTCAGTGTTTTTAAAGATACTCCTTCCAGACCATCCAGCGTTAGTATCAGTGAAATGCCCATGGTGATCCACTAGCATCTGCAAAACCATGGAGAAGTACCCCTTACGATATATGTACTTGGTGCCAAGGTGGGCTGGGGCAACAATAGGGATGTACATTCCATCTATCGCCCCACCAGTTAGGGAAGCCCATTTCTGCAAAGCCATCCAAAATGTCACGCACATTACCAAGAGCCACGGTCTTGCGCAGTATGATGCAATGAATGGCCTTGCACATTTGAGTTACCACAGCACCAGTGGTCGATCTCCCCACTCCAAACTGGTTCACAGGCGACCAGTAGCTGTCTCACACACTTCTCTACAGTGAGTGCAGCTCTTAGTCTAGTACCCTTGCGATGCAGGTCTGGGGAAAGCTCAGCAGACAGTTCTATGAAGGTGGCTTTCCATATCCAAAAGTTTTAAAGCCACTGGTCATCATCCCAGACAAGCATGATGATACTACTGTGAGCTACTTTTCTCTACCCCCAAAAAACGCTGTTCCACAGTGCTCAGCTCCTCAGTTAATGCCAAAAGCAATCCAATGTTACTTATTTCCATTTCAGGCAGCTCATCAGGCATCTCTGACTGCAGTTCTCTTTGCAAGTTTAAGAGCAGCTACACTGCCAATCACGGCATGCATGTGACAGCTATCAGAGTAGTGGACAGCCGTGCTTGTAGATGTGGCGGGGAAAGCAGCCAGACAACCAGGAGTGTTAGAAAATGCCGCGAAAGAAACAAGGAAGTAATAGGGCTGCTGGGACATGAAGCAGTGCATCACGGGGCACTGAGCAAGGACCCGGAATGCCTTCTGCTCGCCCCCCCCCCCATCCCACAAGACTGATAGTCAAAATGGAGAGAGGTACACTGTGGGATAGCTGCCCTAGAGCGCTGCTCTCATCCCGGATGGAAGTGCTGCTAATGTAAATACTCTCTGATGCCAGAGGAATTAAGTGAGTACACAAACCAGCGCTTTTACTTTCACCAGTTCCCTATGACCAGTGAAACTTACAGCGAAAAAACTCTGCAAGTGTAGACATACCCTTAGTTAAACCATGCCACAAATGACTTCAATACTAACCTAGATCACAATATGCCTCTGAAGTTAGCACTTACAAAGTGGATTAAAATCTTCAAATGAAAGGTACTATAGAAGTGAGAAAAACAAATTTTAATATTACTAAGATAGGCCTGTAATTACACATGTATCTTCTTTCTTGTGACAAACATAAGGGTGCTCTTTAATGATTAAGACTGCATTTTGGCCTGCTACTGCCACGGTGTTAAGAGACCACCTGGAACAGCCCAGGCCGGCAAGAAACGTGTCACGATGGTTGTCTAATGACCGTCAAATGGAAGGTATTAAGAGACAATACCAGAACAAAAAGAAAAGGAGTACTTGTGGCACCTTAGAGACTAACAAATTTATTAGAGCATAAGCTTTCGTAAGCTACAGCTCACTTCATCGGATGCACCAGAACAATTAGCGCTGACAACTCTAATCCAGCCCCTGAACTGGTTTGACCAGCATAGAGGAAGTGGGGAGGCCAAGGGCCACCAACACTTGAAATAGCTTCCTGGAGAACAAAGAAAGCTGACACTGTTTAGTTGTTTGCAGCTTTGCTGTAGCAGTGTTGGTCCCTGGGTGAGGCAACATCTTTTATTGAACCAACTTCTGTCAGGTGAAAGAGACAAGCTTTCATGCTACACAGAGCTCTTCCTCAGGTCCTGAAGCGGTTTTGTAGTTCAAAAGCTTGTCCCTTTCACCAACAGAAGATGGTTCAATAGAAGAGCTAATGGACACACTTTTTTGGGGGGGAGGGGGGAAAGACAGGGAAACGGAGAAACAGCCCAAGACCTCCACAGGAGCTCACCTCTGAAGTTGTTAATCTGGCCTAGGTCACCATTATGGGATACAGCATAAAAATTGGTTGTTTTAACATCAGATTTTTCTCTCTAAATCTTTGCTGCTATAGAAAATATTTTCTTTTTAAGAAGGCTATTGGTCAATATCACCAGTCACAGATTACCATGGAGAGAAAATAGGTGTCCAAATCTCAACATGGTGAGAAATGGATGGTACACACAGGGCAGTTTGGCCTTGGTCCTACTGAAAGAGTGGCAGAATTGTGAAATACCATTCTGAAGCAGGTAAGAGCTAAAGGCACAAGACCGGAGGACTCTGGTCATTCAGATACCAGGAAGAGGACAGAGGGTGCAGCTAGCCCTGTAATCATGACAATATATTTAAACAAAAAGTTTTTAAAAAAAATACACCTATCTGTCCAAATCTGAGTTTGAGTTCAGGAAAAGCAGAAATGTATCTGCAATTATATTAATTCTTACAAGTAAAATCATACAATGCTCAGCTGAGGTCTTGGAAGGTAAATAAAGACTGTGTTTTGTTTTAAAAGGCAATGTGTCAAAACAGCTCAAACAACTTCTATCAAGAAACTGTTTTCTCAGAAAAACCTACTGCCCCAGAGGCTATCATCCCAGCATACACACTTATTTACTGCTTAACCTTTACATCTACAATATTCAGTTACTGATTTGAGCTCTCAAAATAGTTACCCCCAAAAAAAACATTTTACTTAATTTTTAAGGGACTTTGACAACTAATTTGTAAAAAATATTACATAAATGTACACAAAAACAGGAAATAAAGGTTTGCTTTATTTGGAAGGTTATACTTTTGTTTTCTTGACATTTAAACTACACCTAAGGGAGCTCCTACACAAGTGTTTAAAAAATATTTTTAGAGTGGTTTTTCAGACTCAGTCATAACAGTGTTTAAAATTTACAGCAGTGAGTAATAGACACACTTCATGGTTTCCTTGAGGGCAAATGTGTAAAAACAGTAAAAGTAATGGAAAGCAAATCTAGGAAGGTAGAAATATCCTGCTCCACACATCTCTACAGGATAACGTGAAATTCCATTCTTTTAAGTTGTTTTAGTGATTTTTCACTTTTAAGTGTAGTCTTGTTACACTTTTGTATAGGTCAAAGATGGGTAAAATACATTTCATACCACATGGAATAAGCTGTTTCCCAAGGAATCATGAATGACATCTCCACTCCATATACACCATTTAATTATGGTTATTTCTGTGGTGTTCATCACTATAGTATCTGCCCAATATTGCATAATTAGCTTGGAAGGACAGAGAAAGGGAAAGAGGATCACCTTCTTCTGAAGCATGAGCAAAGGTGAGGTATCAGACCGGATAGTGTTTCTAAATCAAAGTGGTCACCACAACTAGCATCTAATGTCCATTCTCATCTATTTGAGCCTTACCTTCAGACTATTTACACATTTAAAGGAGTATTTGCACTTCTTGGATTTCCATTTTCCTTTTCCCCAGCTTTTTCTTCCTGGTGCATTGGGTGTGTTTGTTGGGGTGTCAGGGCGTTCAGTGTTAGTACCACTTTCTATACTAACAGCATCATCCTGAAAATATACAAAATGGGTAGACATCAGTACCTAACTTAAGAAACCCAAATAATGGAAAACTAGCTGTTTTTACATTCCCCTCCCTCCGCCCATAGGAATACTGTCTGCACACGGACTTTAAAAAAAGAAATGTTCAAGAAAAAAATGTTATAAATTTTCTAAAAGGTTGATTTATTGAAAGGTCAGACAGCTGTGTCCAGTGCAGTAGTAAAGTCATTTTTTTCAGGAAATACTAGGTTACTTGTCATTTTTCTAAAGACAGAAACTTTAGCCCTTTAATTTTTTTTGATTCGGGTACATCAAAAAGAGAGCAGACAGCTGCAAGACTCTAGAACGACTCCAGAAGCAGGGGGACATTTTCATTGCTTAGCCTCCTACTGTTACCAACAAATTTGCTATCTGTAATGACACTAAATGACACTCACTTTCTCATTTCATCACATGAAATTTGGTTAGATAAGAAATAGAAACTAAACCTTTTCAAGGCAGGGAAATGGTCTTAAAAAAATGGATGGTAATTATCTACCTCACAGGCATTTTACAGGAATAAACAATGCTTGTAAAGACCACTGAGGTATTTATAATGAAAAGAATATTTGAGTGCAGAGAATTAGTATAAATTTACATTCCTGACAGAAGTTGCTTTCCTAGGAGAGCTGTCTTCTGTATGGTTTCAGAGTAACAGCCGTGTTAGTCTGTATTCGCAAAAAGAAAAGAAGTACTTGTGGCACCTTAGAGACTAACCAATTTATCTGAGCATAAGCTTTCATGAGCTACAGCTCACTTCATGGGATGCATACTGTGGAAAGGGTAGAAGATCTTTTTATACACACAAAGCATGAAAAAATACCTCCCCCCACCCCACTCTCTTGCTGGTAATAGCTTATCTAAAGTGATCACTCTCCTTACAATGACAGGTTTCAGAGGAACAGCCGTGTTAGTCTGTATTCGCAAAAAGAAAAGGAGTACTTGTGGCACCTTAGAGACAAACCAATTTATTTGAGCATGAGCTTTCGTGAGCTACAGCTCACTTCATCGGATGCATACCGTGGAAACTGCAGAAGACATTATATACACACAGAGACCATGAAACAATACCTCCTCCCACCCCACTGTCCTGCTGGTAATAGCTTATCTAAAGTGATGATCACTTGATAAGTCATTGATAATCACTTTAGATAAGCTATTACCAGCAGGACAGTGGGGTGGGAGGAGGTATTGTTTCATGGTCTCTGTGTGTATATAATGTCTTCTGCAGTTTCCACGGTATGCATCCGATGAAGTGAGCTGTAACTCACGAAAGCTCATGCTCAAATAAATTGATTAGTCTCTAAGGTGCCACAAGTACTCCTTTTCTATTTTACATTTGGGGACAATGTATACCTTCAGATCAGCGGCACTGCTATGGGTACTCGCATGGCCCCACAGTATGCCGACATTTTTATCGCTGACTTAGAACAACGCTTCCTCAGCTCTCGTCCCCTAACACCCCTACTCTACTTGCGCTATATTGATGACATCTTCATCATCTGGACCCATGGAAAAGAAGCCCTTGAGGAATTCCACCATGATTTCAACAATTTCCATCCCACCATCAACCTCAGCCTGGTCCAGTCCACACAAGAGATCCACTTCCTGGACACTACAGTGCTAATAAACGATGGTCACATAAACACCACCCTATTCCAGAAACCTACTGACCGCTATTCCTACCTACATGCCTCCAACTTTCACCCTGACCACACCACACGATCCATCGTCTATAGCCAAGCTCTGCAATACAACTGCATTTGCTCCAACCCCTCAGACAGAGACAAACACCTACAAGATCTCTATCAAGCATTCTTACAACTACAATACCCACCTGCGGAAGTGAAGAAACAGATTGATAGAGCCAGAAGAGTTCCCAGAAGTCTCCTACTACAGGACAGGCCTAACAAAGAAAATAACAGAACGCCACTAGCCGTCACCTTCAGCCCCCAACTAAAACCCCTCCAACGCATTATTAAGGATCTACAACCTATCCTGAAGGATGACCCAACACTCTCACAAATCTTGGGAGACAGGCCAGTCCTTGCCTAAAGACAGCCCCCCAACCTGAAGCAAATACTCACCAGCAACCACATACCACACAACAGAACCACTAACCCAGGAACCTATCCTTGCAACAAAGCCCGTTGCGAACTGTGTCCACATATCTATTCAGGGGACACCATCACAGGGCCTAATAACATCAGCCACACTATCAGAGGCTCGTTCACCTGCACATCCACCAATGTGATATATGCCATCATGTGCCAGCAATGCCCCTCTGCCATGTACATTGGTCTAACTGGACAGTCTCTACGTAAAAGAATAAATGGACACAAATCAGATGTCAAGAATTATAACATTCATAAACCAGTCGGAGAACACTTCAATCTCTCTGGTCACGCGATTACAGACATGAAAGTTGCGATATTACAACAAAAAAACTTCAAATCCAGACTCCAGCGAGAAACTGTTGAATTGGAATTCATTTGCAAATCGGATACAATTAACTTAGGCTTGAATAGAGACTGGGAGTGGCTAAGTCATTATGCAAGGTAACCTATTTCCCCTTGTTTTTTCCTACTCCCCACCCACCTCCTCAGACGTTCTTGTTAAACCCTGGATTTGTGCTGGAAATGGCCCAACTTGATTATCATACACATTGTAAGGAGAGTGATCACTTTAGATAAGCTATTACCAGCAAGAGAGTGGGGTGGGGGGAGGTATTTTTTCATGCTTTGTGTGTATAAAAAGATCTTCTACACTTTCTACAGTATGCATCCCATGAAGTGAGCTGTAGCTCACGAAAGCTTATGCTCAAATAAATTGGTTAGTCTCTAAGGTGCAACAAGTACTCCTTTTCTTTTTGTCTTTTGTATGGTGTCAATAAATATTCAGGAATAAAAGTGAACACAAAACAGTAACAGTATCAAGCTACTTCAGAGGTGTTGTGGGGCTACACGGAAACAAAAGAGACAGTAATGGCCTGATTTTCCAAAAGGTACTGACCAACTACAGCTCCCACTGAAGAGCTGCAGCAGCTCAGTACCTCTGAAAGTCAGGTAATAAGTGAATCACCTCAGTCAGAGGGAATCATTCCCTCCGTGTTTCCCCCCATAGAATGGGGCACAGTTTCAGGATAACTGCACCTTTACCTCCCTGACCCCGTGGTCTTCTCAAAGAATACCCACTTAGACTAGATGCCCGAGACCTTCATCTCTCTCTGCACAGGGATCTCTGAATGGGAGTTTACCAAACTGTAGCAGTGTTGGGGCCCGCCTTGAATCAAAGATCAGGTCCATTTGTTGATATGGTAAGAAGTCTCCCTCCCCCGCCCCGCCCCACCCATATTACGTTAAACTCAGCCTTCTTTGGTTCCTTGGGTTTCTGATACCCATTTGAACCAGTATATACAAACCAACCCATACCCCCTCTGGAACTGTTTACAATCCCTGGGACTGCAGTAATCACCCGCCACAGTTTTTACTTCCTGGAGGAGTTATGGAACCCCGCCCCTTCTCCCCCATGGAACTGAATACAGTCCCTGGCCCAGCAGATATACAGAACATAAACAAATTCAATATGGTACCCAAAAATACTGGCTGTGCTTGCAATCTCTGTCACTGAAATCCCACAATCTTTACTCAGGCAAGACTCCCTGCGAAGTAGTTAGATACAGTACCATCTTCACCTGCTGTAATACACAGGCTCTCAGCACACCTTTACATGTCAGTTTTGTCTGTCTGCTTTTTGCTGTTAGAAAGCACTCTGCAACCATACAGATTTTATCTGGAATCAGTGGGAGTTGACTTAACAGGTACAGCAAGATTTGACTCTATAAATAAAAAAAAATTAATTAAAACATTAAGTCATACTAAGAACGTGTGGGCACATGGGCTTGGAGAAAGCAACACTAACTGAATAAAGTGGGTTTGGGACAGAAAGGGAGAAAGCTGTGGCCACATCTATGCTATAACAACATAGTTACAGCCTATGTTGCTGTAACCCCATAGATAAGTCGCAGTCTACAGTGACAAAAGGGGGGTTTTCATTGCTGTAGGGACCCCACCTCAAGTGATTCTTCCATTGATCTTATAGACAGCACAGCTGCAGTACAGAGAAGGGCAATAAAAATTATTAGGGGTACAGAACAGCTTCCATTTAAGGAGAGATTAAAAAGACTGGGACTTTTCAGCTTGGAAAATAGATGACTAAGGGGGGATATGATACAGGTCTATAAAATCTTGAGTGGTGTGAAGAAAATGAATAAGGAAATACTCCTTCACATAACACAAGAACTAGGGGGTCACCCAATTAAATTAATAGTCAGTAGGTTTAAAACAAACAAAAGCAAGTTTTTCTTCACACAGCGTACAGTCGACCTGTGGAACTCCTCGCCAGGGGATGTTGTGAAGGCCAAAACTATGGTTAAAAAAAGAACTCGATAAGTTCCTGGACAATAGGTCCATCAATGGCTGTTAGCCAGGATGGGCAGGGATGCAACACTATGTCCGGAGCGTCCCAAGCCACTGTTTGCCAGAAGTTGGGAGTGAACAACGGGGGATGGATTACTTGATTCCTGTTCTGTTCATTCCCTTTGAAACACCTTGCTCTGGCCACTACTGGAAGACGGAATGCTGAGCTAGATGGACCATTGGTCTGATCCAGTATGGCCATTCTTAAGTGCAGTGCCAGAAGTGTGGATTTTTCATACCTTTGAGTGCCAGAGCTCTATCAACCTAAGGCTTTGTCTGCATTAGCACTTTTGTCAGTCAGGGGTGTGAAAAAATACACCTCTGCCTGACATAAGTTTCACCAACAAAAAGGCCACCGTGGACCGAGCTACGTCGGCTCTCCCACTGACATAACTACTGCTGCTCATGGGGGGTGGGTTAATTATGACGTCAGGAGAGCTCTCTCCTGCCGGCACAGAGCAGCTACACAGAAGACCTTATAGCGGTACAGCTGTAGTGGTACAGTTGTGCTGCTGTAAGGTCCGTAGTGTAGACATAGCCTAAGTTTTAAGTGTAAACTGGAGCTGGCCTACACTACAGATAAGTCGACCTTCCTACGCCACTCAGGGGTGTGAAAAATTAACTCTCCTGAGACACAATTAAGCCAGCCTAAGGTGCGGTGTCTACAACACTGGGTCAATGGAAGAATTCTTCCGTCCACCTAGCTCCTGCCTCACAAGGAAGTGCATTTATTACAGCAATGGAAAACCCTCTTCTGTCACTTTAGTAAGTGTCTACACTACTACTGTGCTACAGTCAGCTGCTGCGTTTCAAGCACAGACATACCTAAGCCTATTTAGGCTGTATCTACACTGCCACTTTCAGCGCTAAACCTTTAGTCATTCAGGGGTGGGAAAAAACACCCCCCTGAGCAACAGAAGTTTTAGCGCTGAAAATCGCCAGTACAGACAGTGCTTTATCACCGCTTGTTGGGGGGGGAGGGGGGGTTTTAGCACCGGGAGAGCTCTCCCCCAGCAATAAAGCATGTCTACACTGCCCACCTCACAATGCTGCTGCAGCAGCGCTGTGGTAACGTGGACAGCGTAGACATACCCTTAAAGAGCTGGTTTGGAAGCAGAATGAAAGGTAGGCAAAGGTGGGAGGAAAAAAGACAAAGGGAGAGAGGACTGGATGGAGCACTGGAGGCAACAAGAATGTGAAGACAAAAGCAGCAGCAGAGCTATTCAGACCCCTGAAGGTGAAGACAAGGTGCTTGAAATCTGAGTAGATGAAAAGAGGAAGTAGTGAAGTTTGTGGGGGATGGGGGATTGATGCAGTTATTCTCTTCATCTGCTTAGGTTTCAGTCTCTTTATCTTTACCTTCAGGGGTCTGAATAGCTCTGCTCCTCCTTGTTTCCACATTCTTGTTGCCTCCCATGCTCCACCCAATCCTCTCTCCCAACTGCTCCCTCTGTCTTTTTTCCTCCCACAAAATTTTGTCTTCCCTTACTTTGCTTCCACCTCTTGGAATGGATTCCCCTCCCTTTCTGCTCCAATCCCGCTTTCATTTAAGTCTTTCGCTGCTACTTCCTCCAAGCTCATCTGCCCACATATTCTTAGTTTGACTTATTGTTTTAACTGCTGTTTTGACATAGCAGGAGCCTGTGTGTAGAGAGAAAGAGGGGTAAATCAGAAGTGACCGACTAGGGTTACACACAGGACTTTTTAGTATTGTATCCTATCATTTCAGAACTTAAACTACATAAATATGTCCACAGATTATAATGGTTGGTACTTAAATCATTGTATAAATATTGTATATGCATTACAATAAACAGGGACTCCACCTTTATAGGAGATTATATCACTAAGCCTCCATCCCTCAATGGATTATACATAGGTGCAGAAATCTAACACCACAGCTCATTGCAGAATTGGGACCTCGGAATTTAATTTTTACAGTCTAACAGAAAAGCCTTGCAAACTGTATTGTGTGAATGAATGACCAGAATGTAACCTATGGTACTAAAGCAAAAGAAAAAAAAATTATATCAAGTTAGGTATGTCTCATTGGCTTGTATAATTCTATCATTTTAAACAGTTCTGTTGCAGCCAATCATTTACTTTTATTTTGCTCTTATATTAGGATGGTCTTTAGAGGCACATATTTGGTGATAATTTTTTGCCACAAAAGGGGAGTTTTCTAACACTGTAAAAACTTTAATTTAAAAACATTCTCAAGTAGTCTTCTTTCACCAAAAGACTATGTGTACATAGGAATATTGCAAAACATATTGTTCCACAATACAAGATTTAAAAACAGACAGCACACACACATATAGTGTTTTATTTTTTCACTTTAAGATGTCTTATTAGAAACTGATTACCATTTTATAGTGTAAATTGTTACAAATCTCTACCTCTACCCCTCCTACACCTTACCTCAGAGGTGCCTGCCTATCTCCCAGCCCCACCCTACTTAAATTATTTAGGAATGCACCATCTCCTGCACCTAAAATACCCTCTCCCTATTTTAGAGTACAGGGAACGTCAGACAGAAATTGCCCCATCACTATTTTGAGGTGAAGGACCTTCTCCTTCCCCCAACCCCACAGCGGATACAGCCTAAAACACAAATCCCAGAACCTCCTCGCTGCTGGAGGGTCCCGCACCTCCCCACGCCCACATATTACGGTGATCTTCAGTTAAGGGGAAGATCCCAAGCTACTGGAGGAGATTTCCCAGTTAAGGGGTTCTCTCAGCCCAGCCTGCTGTGAGGGGTGTGTGCGTATCCCCCTTGGGAAGGGGAAGGCTCCAAGATACAGGCTATTTGGGGGGATTCCCCAGTAATGAGGTGACCGCAGCCCCACTTGCTGGGAGGGATATGGGGGATCCCCCTCGGGATATGAAGGCCCGAGGATTGGGGGGGGACGACACTGGGGCAATTTCCAGTAACGGGGTGACCCCGGCCATGCCTGCTGGCAGGAGTGTGGGGATCCCCCTTGGGGAGGGGAAGGACCCAGGATCAGGGGCTTCCCCGTGCTAAGGATGGGGAACCCCCCAGTAACGGGCTGCCCCCAGCCCCTCCCATCTCCAGCGCCCCCTGCTCCGGGGCGAGCCCAGAACAGGGCCCCCCCGAGCCCCCAACCCCGGCTCCCCTGGGGGCCCCGCCGGGACAAGGGGGCCCCGCTCCCGACTCACGTTCTCGTCCCCGGACAGGTCCCCGGGGTTGCTGTTCTCGTCGCTGCTCAGCTTCTGCTTCTTGGCCGGCATCTCACTGCCCGCTCCCGCCGCCGCCGGCGGATCAGCCCGCTCAGACATCTTCCCCGCCCCCCGCCACGGAGCCGTAAAGCGCGCCCGGGCCAGGGCGCCGCACCACCGTAACGAGTCCTCCTCGCGCCGTCAAGCAGATTGACAGTCTAGTGGCGGGAGATGCCACACTGCTGAAAAATCCAGTCTGGCCGCAGGCGCCCCGCAGCTGCTAGAGCTGGCTGGGAGGGTGAGTACTGTAGGCAGGCTCAGATGATCTCAGGGGTCTTTTTTAGTCTCATATCTTCCATTGATTTCAGTGGACGGCAGGAGCCTAAACACCTTTTAGGTTTTGGGTGTTAGTGGCAAAGCTTTTTTTCTTCCTTTTCTCTTTTTTATGGCAAAGCAGCCTTCACTGAATGGTCTATAGCTGCCAGAAACTGTAATTCCTCACTCCTTGGTGATGTCTATGCTCTCACGCTGCCCTGTGTCTTTCACATAAGGTGTCTGCACCTTATGCATAATACTCCATTTCCCCCACATTGTTACTAAGTCACGTCATGTATTTTTTTACCTTAAGATGTTTATATTCCTCAAAAAGTTTTTCCATTTTTTTAAATCAGCGCCCTTACATACCCATACAAGGTGATCAGTTGTTTCTTCCACCTGACAGAGTGCACATAGTCCATCTTTGTGTCCTTTTTATTCAGAAAGGGATTTTGTTTAAGCCAAAATGGTCAATTAGTACTCTAAACAAAAGCGCTTCATTAGTCCTATGCAGGCCCTGAAGTGCGTCATAAGCATCAACTCTAGGGCATAATTCAAAAAATTTTCTCTCTCTTTTTTCATTAATCCAATTTTTTTTGGCATTCCTCTTTTAAATTTGTCTGGTCTAGGCATTTGAAATCCTGTTTACTCTACCATCAATCCTTCCATTTCTTACAGCATTTTTAGCTGCTTTGTCCACCATTTCGTTCTCTGTTTTCCCAATATGTGCTGGAACCCAAGCTAATGCTACGTGTATCCGCATCTGTACTAACTGTGCTATTAGAACTATAACTGCACTGAATAAATCACTTCTACATCCAGAATAAATCACTTCTACTCTTTTTGATCACCATAAGGCCTGAGATTGAATCCAGAAAAATGACCACTGCTGCTGGGCATACATCCCAGACCCAATTTAATGCTAGCATTGCTGCTACTAGTTTGGCTGTCATGGTAGCTACATAGTCAGATATTCTTTTAGATGTCCTAATTCCCAATTTTGCCATCCCTATTCTTCCTGGGTTTTTTTCATTTTAGGACCTATCTGTATATATTTGACAAAACTGACTACACTTTTCATCTATATACTGGAATACTTCATTTTTAATAACTACTACTTCTTTTTTACCCATAAATTTGTGAAATAAATCTTAATCTGTGTTTGAACTTTCCAGCCATAGCTAATTTTCCCATGACTGAAAGTTTTGGCTTCATTCAGCTTTTCCTTGTCTTTCGTCTCCTACATCCACACTTTAACTCAAATGGCCTGTGGAGTTCTAACATCGTGTGCTATAATTCACCTATTGAGTTCCCAACAATCTTCATAAACTTGTTTGGTTCTTTGATCATTGCAGTTCCCATTACCTTTGGCCCAGAAAGTTAGGTTCTGTAGTTTCATAGTGTAACTGGTTTTCACTAGAAAACAGGGCTGGCTCTGGCACTTTTGCTATCCCAAGCAGCAAAAAAATTAAATTAAATTAAATTTAAAAAAACTTGCTGCCGAACACAGAGGCAGAGTGATGGTGCGGCCGCTGAATTGCCGCCAGTGACTGAAGAAGAGTCGCATCCCCACCACTGAATTGCCGCCGAGCACAAAACGCGCTGTGATGGAGGGGCTGCCGAATTCCCGCCGCCACTGAGGGCGGATTGCCACCCCAGAGCCAAACATCCTGCCACCCCTTTACATTTGCCGCCCCAGGCACCTGCTTGGTTCGCTGGTGCCTGGAGCCAGCCCTGTCTGGAGCACACATAAAGGTGTTGTAATAAATGCACCACACACAAATCATCCCAGCCAACCTAGACCTCCCACATTGCAACTTGAGACCATTGCTCCTTGTTCTGTCATCTGCCACCACTGAGGACAGCCTAGCTCCATCCTCTTTGGAACCCCCCTTCAGGTAGTTGAAGGCTGCTATCAAATCCCCCGTCACTCTTCTCTTATCTTTAACATCGTATATATGATCCTTCCAAAGTAAGTTAGTATCAAATATTACCCCTAAGAATGTGAATCTTTTAACTATATCCATTTGTTCTCCAGACAAATACAGTTTACATTCCTTTGTAACTTTCCCTTTTGTAAAGCTCAATCCTTTGGCAATGGAAAACCTGAAACCCCAGGCATTTCCTGGGTCAGAGGTTCTCGGAATGCTTTGTAGATTCTCTTTTCTGCCACCTCAATAATCTTGCTCTTAACTCTCAATCATCTGTGAACAGAGCGACACCTATCCCAGCACTTATTTGTTTTGAGAGACAATTTATCAGAATATTAAATAAGGTCAAGCTGATAACACTTCCCTGTGGTGTATCATTTTTAGTATTATATATATTCGACATAACTTTCCCAACATACATTCTTCTCCTTAGTACACTGACTTTGTACAATAAGCCTTCCCTTCATAGCATGTCATATGCCTTTTCAATATCTAGAAAGACAGCTGTCACAAAGCCCTTGTGCCTCATACATTGTTGTATTTCAGTTTTCAGAGTAGCAGCCGTGTTAGTCTGTATTCGCAAAAAGAAAAGGAGTACTTGTGGTATTTTCATAGAATCATAGAATATAAGGGTTGGAAAGGACCCCAGAAGGTCATCTAGTCCAACCCCCTGCTCGAAGCAGGACCAATTCCCAGTTAAATCATCCCAGCCAGGGCTTTGTCAAGCCTGACCTTAAAAACCTCTAAGGAAGGAGATTCTACCACCTCCCTAGGTAACGCATTCCAGTGTTTCACCACCCTCTTAGTGAAAAAGTTTTTCCTAATATCCAACCTAAACCTCCCCCACTGCAACTTGAGACCATTACTCCTCGTTCTGTCATCTGCTACCATTGAGAACAGTCTAGAGCCATCCTCTTTGGAACCCCCTTTCAGGTAGTTGAAAGCAGCTATCAAATCCCCCCTCATTCTTCTCTTCTGCAGGCTAAACAATCCCAGTTCCCTCAGCCTCTCCTCATAAGTCATGTGTTCCAGACCCCTAATCATTTTTGTTGCCCTTCGCTGGACTCTCTCCAATTTATCCACATCCTTCTTGAAGTGTGGGGCCCAAAACTGGACACAGTACTCCAGATGAGGCCTCACCAATGTCGAATAGAGGGGAACGATCATGTCCCTCGATCTGCTCGCTATGCCCCTACTTATACATCCCAAAATGCCATTGGCCTTCTTGGCAACAAGGGCACACTGCTGACTCATATCCAGCTTCTCGTCCACTGTCACCCCTAGGTCCTTTTCTGCAGAACTGCTGCCTAGCCATTCGGTCCCTAGTCTGTAGCTGTGCATTGGGTTCTTCCGTCCTAAGTGCAGGACCCTGCACTTATCCTTATTGAACCTCATCAGATTTCTTTTGGCCCAATCCTCCAATTTGTCTAGGTCCTTCTGTATCCTATCCCTCCCCTCCAGCGTATCTACCACTCCTCCCAGTTTAGTATCATCCGCAAATTTGCTGAGAGTGCAATCCACACCATCCTCCAGATCATTTATGAAGATATTGAACAAAACCGGCCCCAGGACCGACCCTTGGGGCACTCCACTTGATACCGGCTGCCAACTAGACATGGAGCCATTGATAACTACCCGTTGAGCCCGACAATCTAGCCAGCTTTCTACCCACCTTGTAGTGCATTCATCCAGCCCATACTTCCTTAACTTGCTGACAAGAATACTGTGGGAGACCGTGTCAAAAGCTTTGCTAAAGTCAAGAAACAATACATCCACTGCTTTCCCTTCATCCACAGAACCAGTAATCTCATCATAGAAGGCGATTAGATTAGTCAGGCATGACCTTCCCTTGGTGAATCCGTGCTGGCTGTTCCTGATCACTTTCCTCTCATGCAAGTGCTTCAGGATTGATTCTTTGAGGACCTGCTCCATGATTTTTCCAGGGACTGAAGTGAGGCTGTAGCTGAATTTTCCACTGAATGCATCCGCTGAAGTGAGCTGTAGCTCATGAAAGCTTATTCTCAAATAAATTGGTTAGTCTCTAAGGTGCCACTAGTACTCCCTGTATTTCAGTTTGTAATTTAGCAATGTGAACAATGATGCACCCTATCTATAATGCCATTGTTTTCCAAATAGGCAACCAATCTTTCATTCATCTTTCTCTCCATAATTTTACCCAGGCAGGACATAAGGGCAATTGGTCTAGAAGCATCCACTTTTGTGGATAGTTTGCCTGGTTTTCATACTGGAATTACTACTGCATGTTTCCACCCTTACTGGTATCACTTCTTTTTCCAATATAGTGTAAAATAATTCCAAGATAGCCCTCAAACTGCTTTCAGAGAGATATTTAAATATTATGGTAGGTATATTATCTTTACCTGGGGATGTATTCTTGCTGATATCAATAGCTTTCTCAAGTTCTTGCATACAAACTATTCATTCAGTATAGTATCTTCATATTTACCCCCAACTACATAATCAATCATGATTCTCTTCAGTGAATTGCCTTTTAATCTGGTGGGAAACTTCACTTTGGTTTTCTTCATTACTCACCCCTCAGAAAGTTTCTGCTAGAACTTTTGCTTCTCATGATCAGAACTTCTAACTATATTGTCAGTCCCAATAAGACATGGGATGTAACTTAAGTCTAAATACCATTCATTCTTCTAATTACCCTGTATATTTCTGAAGTCTTGTTTATCCATCCACAGTACTTCCTCCAAGTTTCTTTCTTTGATTTTTTTAAATAATTCTTTTATACTTCATTAGATCTTTACTATTTGTTGTATCTTTTGCTTTTTTATACACCTTGTTCTGTTCTTTAACAGCCATTTTCCACTCTTTATTCCATCATGGAAGTGAGTTTTTAGTTTTGGGGTATTTCAATATCCTAGGCATG